GTGTTTTTCGTTAGTATAATTAATACGTTACTCTGTGATAGATCACTGTTCCCGAACGGTGATACGAAATTTAATGAAACGCGACGTTTATGAAGTCCTTGGTATATGTGAACGATCAATTAATTTCCATCGCTAAACGGTTCGTGCCAATTGTTTTTAGTCGATTAATTGAATACAAGTAAGCAATGCCAGGATAAGGATATTGTTGTATCGATATCTCGCAATGTTGTACATATTACGACACATAGGATAGAAAGATTTGTACGTTTATATTTTTTAAACGCGATGCGCCCAAGTTATTGACGTTCACTTGCGCGAAGCGTGCTTCATAACGAATGACTACGATTGACACGAATTAGCAAGGGACACATGAGTCCGATGGTAACAAAATGAAATCCGCTACAAACATAGTCGATTTTAAACGATTTATAAGATACAGAATATTGAAATTACCATTGACATGTTTGTTCACATTTTAAGATAGAACAATACAATTTTTGTGAACAATTTTGTTGAATAATTATTTTTATCATTTTGTTTTCTGGAATATATTATTTTTAACGGCTGCTACGAGCTAGGTTGTTAGATACAGCCGTTCACTGAAATATTCAGACAACTTTTAAAACGAAGCCATATTTTCAAACTCTGTTTTTCTACTGTCTTTTAACTTTTTCATCGAAATTTAGAACGAATATGATTAAATAATTAAGTTAAGAAACACATTTTTCTTATATTTGTTGTCATTCCGAATAGGAAAATCTCTTTAACTTTATTTGTTCATTTGTTTTTTCTTCATTTACTTTTGAAGATACTGCTCGTGCAAAAAGTGTATCACTGTGCAGTGCAACAGTTTTATTCAATACCATGGTACGTTACAAAGACGTAGATGTAATTTGAGCTTGCTTTTCAGATTTCGACCTAATTTGCATTTCTACGGAACACATACAAAATAAAGACATTCTCAGGGAGAACAAAATTGAATGAGACTTAAGACTCAAAGTTCCATTGTTATGCCCTTGCTGTACCATTTTCTTCTCAATTACAATCATTAGAACATTTTCGATTGTAATAATTTAATATAAAGTCGCGCTATAATACAATACTTTTAAGCTTATTATATGAAAGGATATAATAATCAATATAAAAATACAAAAGAAAGTATAAATTTATTTATAGAAATGTTCTAAGCTCTTGAATGAGGTGATTCCTGAGGTGATTTAAAATAACTTTTTCCTTGATGAAAATGTTCTTCGTGGCTTTTTGTTAACGAAACGAGTTATTAACGAAGAACACGGGCCAATCAGACAGCGAGCATAGCTATCGCTCCGCTCTCGCTGCCATTGCCGCGTCGCGCTCGCTATTCGTCCACTGTACTCGCTTGCTGATTGGTGCGTGTTTTTCGTCAATAACTCCTTAACAAAGCCGCGGAGAATATTTTCGCCAAGGAAAAGATGTCTTCAAATGATCTCATGAATCGTATTTTTCTACTACATTTTCATTATATGCTATATATTTTTGTTATTAAAAATCTCGATCAGGAATCAGACTCGCCAAAGTATGGCAAGGGATTAACAGTGGTAAATTGTAGTAGATTTTGAGAATTTTATTCGTGCCACTATGTATTGTTTCGTTGAGCACGCTTCGCCGTAATTCTGCGAAAGGCAGTGATGTTGGGATTTGCATGCGCAAAGAAATTGCATAGAAGACGTAAATTAAGTCTACATTTTCGTTTGTAAATACAAACTTTTATACCAGCTGCGAGGACGGCCGACCGCGGGATGGTTTCGCGAATTTAAAAGTCCCTGTAATCGTTCGCTGTAATTCGAGAAACCATCCGCCCTATACTTGTAACAATATTATGAGGTATACTGATGTATGGTAACAACCATGATATAGCGAGGTCCTGAAATAAAGGATAGAACATCGATTAACGTTCATAATACATTAATGCATAACTTTGCACGGCCTTGGCCGAGATTTCCGGTCCCTGTTCCCTTATGTTTCTTTTTTCGTCATAGTCCACGTTTAGTTTAACGTTCCGTCGATCTTACGATCATGTTATATCGTGGCTGGTACTATATCTGAAGAATTGTACAGCGTGCAATGCACGGAGGGACACGGGTTGTCTCCTAAAATAAAAAAAAAGGAAAAGAAAATAAAATATACATGCATAATAAAAACGGTTCTTCCAAGAAAACGACTATTATTTCTTCCCAAGTCTTTCACTTTCTCACTTTTAAAAATTCGAGCGATTTATTTAATCACACTGAAACTACCGAGCAATCGGGTGATGATTATAAGGCGTCAGTAAAAATTGCTATATCTCGAATATTCTGGAAATGATGACCGTTATGTAAGATGCAAAATGCTATACTGTTAGAGCCAAATGCTGTTTTAAAGTGTAAACGAGGATCGAAGTGAACGTTTCCATTTTATATTTTAAATGTAATGATTTCTATACAATATTCATTTTTTGATGGACATAATACATAAAAAAGAAATGATCTTATAAATTGACAAGTTTAACGAATAATTTAGATATATTAGGGATATTTAGGAATATTTAAGAAAAGATTGATTGACTGATTTTTTTACAATTTATCAATTTCAGTTGTCTCAGCTATGAATAGGATTACGAGAGCCAGTAATTGAATCGTTTCACTTGAAATAGCTAAAACGTCGAATCCAATTAGTTTACATGGTCCAGTCGTAGCCAGTGCCAAAATTTCACTTTAACGACACTGGTTTCTCAAATTAGATTGTTATGAATTTGTTTCTACCAATGTACACGCCACGAACATACAGAAGACAATGGAAATGCTTGAATTTATTTAATATCGTATAAATACTTCCACGAAGTATGCGCATTACCCGCGAATGCCGAAGGAATACAAGTTTATGGATTCAACTTGGCAATTAAGTTCTGCGGCACAGACGAGAAAATTTATGGGAGCTGCATATTTGTCTGTAAACTCGAAAGAATAAACAGGTGCAGTGCGAATTGTTTGAGAATTTACCATGGCAGCAATTAAAATTCTTTCGGCACTGCTGCTACGCTACAACGCCGTGCATACAATTGCTTATAATATTTCATGCAGACGCAAGCTATTAAATTAGAGATCAATAAAACAGTCTTTGAGGCGAGCATTGAGCTCATACAGAACCATCGTTGCTGAAAACATGTCTTCCAAGTCGTTTTTTATTTTAAATGTTATATGCCATTATTCGTGTTTAAACATTCACGTTAACACGTCGAAAACCTCAACAATTTTATAAAATTAAAGTATTTCGTTTAACCAAATCACGATTGAAAAGTTAAGTTAAATGACAAGAATTACTTTTACAACATTCACTGGTTTTGCGGATCCTAATAAAATTTTAGGAAGAGATTATCGTAAAAATTAATTTTCGAACCTGAACAAATATTTCGTTTTCTAAATATTAAAACTCCATACGAAAACATTTAATTTACTCTTTGTTCTTATATCTATCATCATCAACGTAGAATAATCTGTATATTCTAGCAGTCAGATTGATAAATTAATATTACGATTTATAATATCCTGCTAATTAACCGTAACGATTTTTGGTAAGCATATAGACATTTAGTAAAAGGCTACATAAAAATGCGACACAGTACGGTTTCTAAATGAGTTCAATGAAGAACAAATTCCTGAACAAGTAAGATTCTTTCTTTCTGTCTAATGAAAAAATGACGGTCAGAATTCATGTAGCAGCCGTTTAGAATCTAAACCAGGGTACGGTGTCAATGATTCTATTACGAAATAAAGTTGCATCGAGTGATACGTACTTTAAGTTTTTCTAGCATGCAAGCTATAAATAAATAAAAGTTATTACGTACGTCATATTTGTTATGATTGCCGAACTGTAAATTTAGCGCGACCGCCTGCGTGCAATTATAAAGACAAATGTTTTCAGCATAGAGTGATGAACAAATCCAAAACGTATATCGTTTTAACAAAAGATATTATGTTCGACGAATAAAAATTCGTTCGTAATAAACTATACTAACCACAACGTTAATTTACAACCAATGATTTGTTTCTATAGAGTAAAATTGGGCAAAAAATTAATCGGCAACTAACGATTGAAGTTTTACTGTTAATCGTTAATTGTAATTAATGATTAACAGTAATTGCGTTAGTTGTAAATATAAAATACAATAAAAAAATAAAAATGATAAAGAGAATTCTTAACGGAAATACCATTCAATAATTAACGATTATACATTGTTTCTAACGATCGACGACTGACGATTAATTGCATCAATCGATTAATTCAATCGTCGACTTTTCGTCGATTAATGCCTTTAATAGTTTTCATCAATCATTTAATCACATTAAAAATTTTAATCGATTGATGCCCAACACTGCTATACGGCAATAAGCTACTTTGTTTTACACGAAAACGTAATAAATTATTTTAAAGTTACTTTATATTTGCAATATAATTTTTATACTTGATTTTCTATCGTATTAAATTATTATAATTTGAATTTAAATTAAACAAGTGCTCTTCAATTTCTGTGTACACTGTCTATTAAAAATAAAAAAATATACATGATTTCTAAAGGAAACACAAAAATTTCGAAAAACATAACGTGTAGAACAAGGTCAGTATTCTATAATCTCGAGAAATGTAACGACACTGTTATTATTAAGTAGAGAAGAAATCGACGTTAGGAGAGTAGCATTTAAAGAAAAACTAACAAAAATAGATGTCGAATGTTAGGAACGTAGAACGGTATAGGAGACGAGAAGGTGGTGACCCTAAACTTTGGGACTAAACGGTGTACGTGTCCCGTCGTAACATTGGCTAATGAATTGACATGTGTGCTAAGTACCTTATTGCCCTCTGTGGTAACAATTGATTACAATTGTTGCTTGCCAAAAATCCCCGCTCCGGTCGCGTTCGCGGAGAGAGGGGGCACCCTTTTACTTAAGGGGAAGACCGGTGGAAAATCTTATAAGCTAAAATAAAAGCGAAACAAGGCAAGGTTCGCCTGAGTATTTTTTTTGCAGTCTGAGTTAGTGGCTTGACGTGTGGCCATCGCATTACAGGTACCATGTTGCTACGTCCAGATGGTCTAACAGGCGTTTCAATCGAAACGATGTCAACGAGTGTGCCTCTGAATAACAATTTCTGTGAAATTAACTGGGAAATGTCGGCAGTGACAGTGAAATATGTTCTTGGTGATTGTTCGAAAGTGACGCGGCCATTTTTCTTTTAATTTAATCATTCTCTCCGTTGACGACATACGATTATTTCATGTTTCTTTTATTTATTTATTTATTGCTGCGTCTGCTTAATAGCAATTAGCGACCACTTGTGGAATTACGATCTGTTACATGTGGATGTGATATCTAAAACAATAGTTTCTAGATTTGGAGTTAATGTTTGTTTGTTATTTGCATCTTACATTCACAATTGCGAAAACTATCGTATAGTTTACAAAGGAATGAAATTAAGTACTATTGAAAGTGACGTAAAAAAGAAGAGGTGGATAGACAGTGGTGATTTTAATCATTGAGAATATTTCTATGAGACAGTTTGGTCATTTTGAATTTGATCGATTCGTTAATGCCACAATGATTCATAAATTTTAACGCGAATAAAGGAAACGTCGGATAATTCGCGATGATTTTCTACGCCATTGCGAATTCGTTTATGAAATGTTTGTACGCCTGAAGAACGAATTCGATCAAGCTACAAATACTAATCGATGTCACAATCAAACAGTTTGTTGTGTCTTAAGGTGACCCGTTTCTCTTTGTTAAATATATCTCATTAGCTAAATATATCGATTGAGAGTAATAGCTGCGAGTTTCGCGTGAAACGAAAGTTCTTCAGCATCGATATTCTTCGGACAAATAGATTAAGCACATTATGTTCCAATGCAATTAGGAATAGTTTGTCACCATAATTAACTTAGTTGATTTTTCTGTGAATAATGATATAGCAGCAAGAACAACTGAGATAGAAATGTTTTCATACGACCTCTGAGATATCTGAGTTTTCGATTCGAATTATATCGTATCATCAAATTTCAAGTGTCAAATTTTAGTAAGAAAATTCAATTATAAATGTAAATTTTAATTTTTAAATTATATATAATTTATAGAGTCCAATTTAGACGGTTTGAATATTGTAAATTATTTTCGATACATTTTCAATTTCAAATCAGTTTGTTATATTAATTAGACAAATTAATAAAGTTAAATCCGAATTGTAACGTTTATTATTAACGCCAATTGAATTGTTGAATAGTTATATAGCAATTTTTACAGTTTAATAGTTATTTTATTATCATTTCAGAGATGTCGATTATGAAACCAAAATATAAACGAAATATACTATAATAATGAATTTCCATTCGACCCAAACCAGTATTAACATGATTCTGAATCAGAATGACTTGTGTCATGTTATCTTAGATGACTAAAAGCATGACCCTAATTCTTTAAAGAAAGCGTCCAGTGATCAAAATACTAAGTCTCTTTTACCTCGTTTAGTGTATTTCATCAATATTAATCAAGAAAAAAATTGAATTAACGGAAATAAAACGTAGTTCTATTCCATGCATGTATATAAAAATAATACTATATTGTTATAAATTATAAATAACTCTTGTTTATGCAATTGGTCACACATAAAATATGTTTTTTACTGGGAAATGTGTAAAGTAAGTAATAAAAGCCATTATTTAAATCATCTTAAATAAATTAGTTGATATATTAAGTCTTATTGTTATTTATAAGTTTAGATCGAGTTATTACATATTTCCACAATTAACAATCTTAAAATTAGAAAGGGTATCACCCATTCGAAACATTATTCGAATAAAGTTTTATTCGAAATGTTGCTCAAATAAAATTTTACTCGAATAAAATGCTAAACTCTGCTTGTCTCACAAGAGGTTCACATTAAATGGAATTCTACTACATCGTTTTAGCCACTAACTTTACATATAATGCGTTTCAATTTTCAGGCCCTTTTATCTTTGGATCTCTGAAGCAATATGTGGGCAGACGATGAAGCAGCGCCATGGGACATGGACGACACCCCTGCAGAGGGGGCTGCTGAAGAAGGAGCAGCTGAGGGTGCAGCAGAAGGAGCTGCAGCAGCTGCACCTGCAGAAAAGCAAAAAGTTAAATTATTAAAACTTGAACCGCCACATTATAATCATCATTGGGTTCGTCCTCTCTTTCTAAATTACGATTACATTTACTTGTATAGGTAAGTTTTTGAATCCTATCAAAATATTAATCCTGAAATCAGAAAGACTTGTGTCAGTCACTTAGGCTGCTTCATTCGAGCATCTTTTATTATATAATAAAATATATATACAATATATAACAATAAAAACATATGTACAATAAAAATTATATTAACTCAAATCTCTCGATTCTTAATTCTTTCATTTATTTAAATAGTATGCGTTATAATAACTTGAATTATGACATAAATAGACTGCGGATTTTATGTATTTATGGTAAAAATGTGAAGCTGAAATGTAGAATTGTAAAGACATACGAAGAATTTTATAATATTGTTACGCTGTTTTCGTCTAATCAAAGTCATTAGAAGAAACAATTTATTTTTATTCGATTTCTATTTCTTACAACCCTGTTGGAAAATTATTATTTTGTATAAAAACCCGCAATCTAGCGACGCGTTTCGGATATTATTATTATTAAGCGTTGAATTTTTTATTTCAGACAAAATTACTACAACGACGTAATCGATTATTTGAACAAAAGGCAAAAGGGATTGTTCCGTGAACCGCCGCGGGCCCAAGAATGGGCCGAACGTGCAATGAGGACCTACGACGAACGGAATCTAGACAAAAGTCACAAACGATCTGCGGACATGAGAGAAATAATCAACATGCGACACGATCCTAGATATTACAGTTATCACACGAGAGCGTACTATAGCTTGAAATACCAACCGATTCTGTAAATATAATTTTGATAAAGCGAACACACAAACCGATGTGAAAACATCAACCGCGACATAGATCTAGAGTTCGTTGTAGCTTCGATTTATAATCACTAACCGCCATTGATTCGTATCTCTGTTCAACTGGAAATTCGAAAATAACCATCAAAAAAAGAAATACTTTGCTGAACAATAATTATGTATATACTTTCATGTAACTTTACTTATTTCTTGTCACGCTAAAGGCTTTTTATTGTAACGTAACGAACAACAATTTTATGATTCCTCTCCTTTTGATGACGATTCGAAATATATTTCGAAACGCATTAAATGTGCGTGCGTATCGTGTACCGTCGCTGTAAAAATATACTTCCATTTCTGAACATACAGTTTGCCTCGTTTGTTTAATGTCGCCCTGTCTTCGATTTCTAAACTGCGGATCCTTATGCAAAATAAAAACTATCTAAGTTAATTGTAAAAAATATAAGTTAAATGAAAATGTATTTCCCCTTTTAATAATCGTAATAAGTTGAAAGTAACGTAACGCTTTCCTTTAGTTCTTTTGATATCTTTACAATTTCGTATTTGACCTTTTCATTTTTGTCATAAATACATGGTGGTATTCTGTTGGTGTGACACTCAAAAATCTTCATCGACTATTTAGCGATGCTTTCGTAGATTACAATCTATTTTTTATATGACCAGAGCTAAAGAACAAATATATAAATGATATTTAAATTAAAACGTATACATATACAGAGTGTCCTAAAATTATTGTATTTCTGGTAACTGAGGGGTTTATGAGATCATTTGAAGTAACTTTTTCCTTAGCGAAAATGCGATCCGCGGCTTCGTTTACGAGTTATTAACGAAAAACAGTGACCAATGAGAGGTGGGATCAGCTGGCGCGTGGCGGCCGAGCCAATGAACGGAACTGATTCTTCTTCTTCTGAACCGAGCTCGCTTCTTATTGGTCAGTGTTTTTCGTTAATAACTCGTTAACGATGCCTCGGAGAACATTTTTGTAAAGGAGAAAGTTACTTCAAATAATCTCAGGAACCCCACATTTCTCGGAAATACCATAATTTTAGGACACCCTGTATATATAATATTTAAAAAATATTTTGGCCAGAGGATGTGCAGCAACAGGTGGAACAATTTTGAAAGGTCGATGCCAAAATGTGATTAACATTATGGCTAACCGCATTGTAGTATTGGCTGTGATTTCAAGATATGAACAATTCAGAGTCTTTCGAAGTTATGGCAACCCGCCAATAACGGTGCGTCTGAGTCAGCCCAATAGAAGCGCGGTCAGTGACGTACCATACGGTAGACAGACGCTCGCGTATCTCGAAGTTTTCTGAGCTTGGATTGTACGCATGTAATATTTTCTTTTAAAGTTACATCAACTGTTACACAGCATCAAATCTGTTCACATAGCGAATTCAAATTGTCAGATGCCAATATCTGTCACGTTCCACTCAGGCTATTCACTCTGGGAAGACGATTGGAGAAACAGTCACGTACAAAGCGGAGGCCGAGCCAGTTCTAATTCACAGTACAGATTATCTTATACATTATGTGAAAAAATGTTCCCGAAATTTATAAATAAATCGCAAATTACGTCCCGTCTACGAAAAGATAGCACACAGAAACTTGTAGGGATCTGTCCGCTGCCACCAGTTATCTCATTTATTATTAGGGTGGTGGAGTCATAGATTGACCAATTGTTGTGCCTTTGGGTTGTTTTTTGTACATAATTAATATTATATTTATGGAATAAGGAATATTTAAAATGCATTTTGTAGATCTCAGTAGTCGATTGATATCATTTAAGCTGTTATCATATAAAGTTCGTGAAAATAAGTTTTTCACAAATCTCAACTAAAAAGCGATTATTTTTACATCTTTTGAATGAGTGCAGCTCAAAAATAAATCTTTTCAATGAGTGACACTCAAAAATAAATTAATTGCACTCAAAAATACAAAATGTTTTTTTAGATTTTCGTTATAGGCTCAGATAAAAAAGTTGAAGAACGTTATTTTTTTATTTCTTTATCATTCCAACCAATTGCAATTTCTGAAAAAACTATTTTAGCCATTGTCTAGAAGCTCATTGAAAGGGGTATAACAATAAATGAAATATAAATATAAATTATAATAGATTTTTAATGAATTTTAATTATAATTATAATTGAATAAGGGTAAATTTAAACATAATGAGTTTTTGAATATAGTTTAAATTATAATAAAATTTTTAATGAGAATATAAATTACAGTAGATTTTTAATGGAACTGTAAATTAGAGTAGAGTTTTTATATAAATTTGAATTATAATAGATTTTTAATATTTTAAATTGGA